ATTTCACAAAATATAACGTTAAAAATAAAAATAGAAATGATTTAATTTTCACGTGACTTCCGCAGTAATTTGGTTTGGTTGGATCGGCAACGCGGGACCTCTCTATCGGTCCTCATTTTACTATCTCACAATATATATAATCATGTGATAATTTTAACCTACAGGACAGGGGACTGATTGGGCAAAGACCCTTACCCAAAATCATAAATTGGTTAGCATCAGAGAAACAGTGAATTTATGAAATGATTATACAAAACAAACACTATTTTACAACTTTCCTCTTAACATCAGAACCCAAATGCGATTTCAGGGCCACCAACCCTGCTCTGAGTTGTGACCTCCTGTGCTTGGAACAAGCTGCAGATTCTCTTAATATTCCTCCGAGTTGCGACTTGGTCACAGAGCAATCCTTGCCCTAGAGGCAGGATCATTGCAGGCGAATTTTCGGCCAACGTGCCAGCAGCCTTCTCTGGTCTGGTGCTGTAAGGGAAGATTAGTTGAAAGTGTCCTTGACGATTGATGCAATCATGATAAACTCCAGGGCCATGCGCCTCCCCCCTGGTATTGGTTGCATCATATCCATAGGGCGAAGCAGGTCAGATTAGCCTTGTGTACACGAGGAAGGTGTGAGAATGACTGTAAGTGTTCAAGGCAGCATAGCATGCTTCAACGCCTGCTATTTTCCGATAACCAAACATCACATACTCAAAATGTTTCATATTCAATTGTGCTGCCTTGACATCTTGTAATTATTATTAATATTATAACGATTACGCAAAGCAAAATATTATCAATGAAAATCTTGTAATTACCCAACAAGATCTGCTCCGCGTTTTGATTCCAATTAAAATGTTTATAATAACCAAAAAAGACAATACAAATAAAAAAAGTACCTCTGGTTAGTTATTAACACGTTTTCTTTAGGAGACCCAAACCAAACCAAACCAAACAACAACACTCACGTTTTGTCACCTTGGACTCTGTCAAAAAATAAATTGTTTTCCAAAAAAAAAAAAAAAAAACCAATAGGATAAATAATTAATGTGTACACACGTCGATCAAATAAACTTTTTTTTTTATAATGTATAATTCTAGCAACAAGAAGTGAAGAAAAAACAACGATGCTGGTGCTGTTAATGCGTAAGTGTTTTAAGGATGGTGGTGGTGGTTATCACCCGCCACCCGTCGTTACTCTAGTTCTTATTAAACATTTGCTTAAGAAAAAGACTTGCTATTATTATTTTTTTTTTTGTATTTCTTAGAAGTTCTTCAAAAGTAATTGAACATAAAATATAATGAATTACTCATTTTTTAAAACCTCCAAGAAAACTTTTCTATTTATGCATTTACTTACGCAATTTTTTTTTTAAAAATTCTTACAGCTATCAAAAGATGATAATCAAAAAGAGAATGTTGTTGACTATAAAAATATATTTAAATCAATGGACAATAAATTTAAATGGAAACTTGAATCTTCAGGACGTTATGTGGAGAATGTCTTATATTCTTATGCTATCAAAAATGACGATTCTCCCGAACTGTAAGTTACATGCCTATGTCTTACCAAGATTATCCTCAAAGGCCTAATATATTCTTTTTAAACAGACCACTACATTCATTCATAATTGATCTCAAAGATTCCATAATAAAGAAAATATTCACCAATCCTGAATTAGAGGAAATGGCAAATACAAATATTAAGACAGATCCTGTCGTTGATAAGGTTTTTGTAGATGAATTGAATCGTTTTTCTGAAGTAAGTTGTTAAAAAATAAAGCTTCAATATCAATACCATTACTGACATTATTATTATTTGATAATTATAAAAATAAACCTTTTTAACCATTTGAATTGTTTATTTAGATCACTACCATTCAAGGATTTCGTGTTGCATTAAACAAATTATCAACAAAATGTTTGGAGACATCAAATAAAGATGATCATTTCTCATTAGATACTCTTCATTATATTATCAATACTTTGTAAGTATAAGTTCACCACATTGATTATATTAATATGTTTTTTTTGGTGAGGGAATGAAAATCATTCAAATATTTTATTCTTCATCCAATAGAATATGACAGTATGAACGGCACCCAAATCCATTTACAGTAGATCATCATGAGGGATGGTATGTGGTTAATTTGTGGGGCCCTGTGGTGGATAGAATGTTTGATGATCTTGAACATATTGATGTAATTAGGTAAGAAGAATTACTAATATTATTTCTGGTTAATCCTTTTTTGGTCTAATAGTTAATCTTCAATCATACAATTTAAATAGGGGTGATGCTTCCTCAATAGCAAGTTCTGAGAGGAAAAATCTCAATAGGAATTTTACTAAAAGAAAGAAAGTTGGTAGAAAAATTGATGGGTTGATTAGGAACACTGATGGTTTGGAATATGGAGGGATGGAAGCAGGAAGATACTATGAAGGTGAAAAAGGAACGAAATGGTTGAAGGAATCTAATTTGAAATTGCCAAAACTATCAAGAGATATGCTGGTCCAATTGGATCACGAAAAAAAAACAGTTTTGGAGGAGTTAGAAATTGTGGGTTTTGTTCATGGAGGTAAGTAAATTGTTGATTTATTTGCAATTTTCTATTAACCTTCTAATAAAATATTTACTTTCAACAACAATGATTGATGAAAAAAAATTTAAATATAGGGTGTTCCTTAATGTTAATCTTTGTTGATATTCCAAAAGGATATATTTGTAGGCTAACAAGAAGCATTGTTTATGAAATTCCTACCAAAATCAAGTCTTTTTATAAAGCTTTAGAACTAATCAGTGCAGTCTGGACTGCAAAGGTATGTTTGTATGTGCATGTATACATTTTATGTTGGATGTTTATTAATTGTGAATTTTTCTTAGTTGAAAGTTCAAAGAACAATTTCTATAGTTGAGCAACCAAAACTAAAATATCGGTAGGTATTAAAAGGAAAAAATCTCAAGAGGAAAAAGGTTCAATGGCTCAAATACATCACCAAAAAGAATTTCAACTGAACAGTAGTCTTGCAATACATTGATAATTTAATCAAATAATTCCACATTATATTGAGGATGACAAATGATCAAAGTAATATATTGAAATTTAAAGAACTAATTAGATATTATTAATAATATTGAAAAATAACATAGATACTTGCACATTGGAAATAATTTTCATTTTCATCCTTACATCTTTTTCAATAATTACTATTCTTTTTTTTACTTTTAATCAGCAACATGGTTATACTAATTAATATTTTATGATTTTTTAGTAATTGGGAAATTATTTCTTATTTGCAATCAGCTTTAATAATATACACATACATTTAATTTTCTTTTCACAAATCATGTGAATCTGTGTATAACAAACCATTTTTATATTTTCTCTACTAATCATGATTGTTGTTTAAATTTCCCCCTCTAATTTTTTTAAAAAAGGAATTATTATTAGTTAAATTTGAATGGCCTTATGTTTAGGGATGGGGCGGTTTAAAAAAACCCCGGTTCGAACTCGGTTTTTGAACCGGTTTTTGGTTTAGGTTCGGTTCGGTTTTTGAACAGGTTCGAATCGGTTTTTTTGTGAAACTAAAATCTCTATGTTTATTGGCCAGGTTATTATATCACGTGAAAATGTAATACAAAATATTTATTATTTTATTTTTAAAAAAAAATATATATATACATAAAAATAATACATAAAAATAAAAACGTGAAGAAGATGAGTAATTTTAAAATGATACATATATATTAATATATGTATAACTTCTACACCTAATCTACTATTTTTTTTGTTGTCCAGCTTTTTAAACATAAACATGCTCTTGCAGTTTCTGGCAACAAACGATTCCGCATTTTACTAATTGTATTTCCAGCAACTGAGAATGCCTGTTCTGATGAAACACTAGTTGCTTGAATCGTAAGATAATCTCGTGCCATATCACTTAAAGTTGGATACTCTCTAGCATGTGCTTGCCACCATAAAAGAGGATCTGTGTCTACATCTACTGGTAAGGCAAGATAACGATCTAGTTCTGATACTGTAGACATTGAAGAGATTTGTGTCATTTCACCATGTTGAAGCTGAGCAAAATATTGGCAAGTGTCATTTATAGATGATGTTGATATTCTTCTCATAGTAGATGTTATGGAAGAGTGTTGTTGATATGTTTCAAAAACGGTTTGGATGTGTACACAAGCATTTTGTTTTGATTCTTCTGAAAAAAAAGTGAGCTTAGTTCGGGGATCTAAAATTGCTGAGGTAATTGTAGAACAATCCATGATATCCCAATATTCTATAATTTTTTGAAGTATTGAAGCTGCTACTTCACGTTGTGTAAACGTTTCTATTCCTGAACATTCATATAGATGCTTCTGGATGCCCCCAAAAATAAAACGAACATCACCAATGGTAGGATAAGATGACGCTGAGAGGTGTACAGTGGCCTTTTCTAAGGGTTCAAGGACTTTGAGAGTATCTTTAATTGTCTTCCAGTCATTACCACTTGGGTAAAGGTCGTTGATGGACTGATTGTCTGCAGAGAGTAAAACTAATGCTGGTTGAAGTTGTTCTAAACGTTTAAGCATATAATAAGTTGAGTTCCAACAGGTTTTTACATCCAGAATAGGTTTGAGATATTTAATTTTTTTTAAATCACACAAACCACGAAGTTCATCACAAAGGCGGGTTGAATCTTTAATTTTGATCATTAATTCACGTACTTTTTCAACTGAATTACTAACTAATTCTAATCCTTGCTTCACACCTAAGTTTAGAACATGTGCTACACAACGATAATGTGAAAAAGTCTTTAAAGAAAGTTCAGTATCAAGTGCACTAGCAATTTCTCTTCCACATACCAACATTGCAGATTCATTATCTGTAGTTAATGCAATAACTTTATCAGAAATTTGGAATTCATTTAAAACACGCAGAATTTCTTGTGCAATGTTTACTCCTGTATGCCTATCTGTAAAAGGGATGATATCAAGAAGGAAATTACAGAGACACCAATTTGAATCTACATAATGTAATGTTAGTCCCAAAAATGCCTCCTTGTTTATAGAAGTCCACATATCAGCTGTCAATGAATATCTTCCTTCAATTTTACGAAGCTCATTAATGATTTTTATTCTTTGGTTATTGAATTTATCAATTATATAGTCTTTTGCTTGATGTCTTTCAGGAATAGTGTAACGCGGACAGAAATGGCTGATGAATGCTCTAAAATAGGAGTTATCAACTACAGTAAAAGGTTGTAGATCACAAACTAGCCACTGAATAAGGTATTTAGTATGTTCCTTTTGTTCCAGCTCACCAAAAGGATTCATTCTAGTTGTGGCAGCTTTTTGTTTCATGGAAGGTGCATCTAATTGATGTTTTTTGAGATGGTTACGTAAGGTTGATACTCCTGTTGTTGTCTTATACTTGGTTGCACATATTTTACAAACATTATATTCTTGTGCATAAGGTGGACTTCTATCAAAATATTCCCACACGGTACTTTTTACTGATACATTTGATAAAGTAGCAGTATCATCATCATCAACTATTCCTTGTACACTACTATAGATTTGACTAATAGACTCATCAGGATGGATATAAGGAGCTATGTTATCAAAGTTATCTTGATAGAGGTCGCTGGACTCTTGATTGTTGAAGGTTTGTTGATCCATTATATGTTTATAGAGAAAATTTTTAAAAAAATCAGGTATTGAGAGGAAAGCAATAAAAAGTATATATTATATGATTTGTATTTATCAATTTTTAATATTATAGATCTTTAATTATTGTATCAAAGGTGATAGATTTTTAATTATTATATCAGAGGTAAATTTTAATTATTATATATATCAAAGGAAGCAGATGTTTAATTGTTATATTGATTTTAATTATTTTGTCGAAGATGTAAAAGGATAGCTATCCTTTTTATATTAGTTGAAAATTAATAAACAAGATGAGTAGGCGCCATGATTGTTTTTACAACTTGCCTTTTTTCCAAATTCAATTCGCCTCTTCTCAAACAACTTGTTTTTTTTTTTTTTTCAAATTGATTATCATTTTAAAGCAACACACCATTACTATTATACAAACAATTTAAAAGGATTTGTTTTTTTCGAATTGAGACATGTGGAAATAACACAATTAATAATAACTACTGCTTGCATTCAATTCGCCTCTTCTCCAAACAACTTATTTTGTTTTGTTTTTTTTTCAAATTGATTATCATTTTTAAAAAGCAACATGCCATTATTATTATTACTATCATACAAACAATTTAAAAGGATTTATTTTTTCGAGTTGAGACAAATAGAAGCAACACAATTAAAAATAACTATTGCTATTACTATGTTGCATTCAATTCGCCTCTTCTCCAAACAACTTATTTTGTTTGTTTTTTTTTCAAATTGATTATCATTTTAAAAAGCAACACACCATTATTTTTTCAAATTGATTATCATTTTAAAACAACACACCATTATTATTATACAAACAATTTAAAATGATTTTTTTTCGA